TCTGAAATTAGTTATAATACGTATTCAACTTTAAATAATGTTATTCCAATCATTTATTTCAAAGTTAATTCATAATAAAAACGTCTATCTTTGCATTTATGAAAAGGGGAATAACTCGATTTTCTTTTTCAACTTGGAAAAATAGAAAATTGAGTTGTTTCCCTTTTCAATATGTCAATAAAATTGATCAATGCGACCGTTTTTGAACTGATGCGGCGGTGCCTGAGAAACTATTGATTACTTTTTTGGGGATTAAAAGTGCCTTGTTTACTCTTACTACTGTATGAAACACAAACTACTACATGTATATGTGCAATACAAATTAACGGAACAATCAGTATCTCTGATATGAGAAAATTCAGAACTTTAAACATTTGAAATCTATATATAAATCTTTACCTTGGATCTCTCCTTCTCTGGTTTATCTCTACTTTTCTCCTTGACCTTCTCTCCCTCCTTATTCTCCACTTCTTTATCCACAAACTCCACACTGAACATCTTCTGTGGAGACTGAGTGACCTCCTTTTTGACTTGTTCTGGTGGTTTGGGGGGACTTTCTGGGAAGTCGTACACGTTGGGGGGTCTGGAGACCTCCTCCTCCGGGGGCTCTGCCTTGACCGTCTCGCTGACGAAATCTTTCCCTTTCAGCTTATCCTTCAGCTTGTCTTTTACCTCTTCACTCGGATGCTCTTCTTTCTGTTTTGGTGTCTTCTCCTTCTTCTTTTTCTTCTTCTGTTCAGACAAGTCAAATGATGCAGCCTCCTCCTCAATCATTTCTCTTTTCACAGTCACAGAGGGAGGGGCATCAATGCTGTCCTCAATAGCCGGATTCGTGTCCTCTTGGTTTGCTTCTGACATCTCTTCTGCTATCCTCTCTGATTTAACTTCTTTCTCCTTCATTGCACCCCCTTCAGAATCTCCTTCTCTAGACATCTTCAATACAGCCTCGATACAAAGATCAATGTTCATTTCTCGGGCTCGTTTCTTCTCGGGACTTAGAGGTGGCCTTCCCCTACCTCTGGCCTTCTCCTTACTTTTACTACTGAGATCAAGAGGTAACTCCACATCAGTTGGTTTCTTCTCCACATTCTCCTTAGCAGAAGCAGCTGGTGGTGCTGGTTTCCTGGACAAGTCCAACACATCACTGGCAAACATTTCCTCCATCGTAGACAAAACAGGAATATTTTTACTCTCTTTCTTTTTCTCGGGAGTTTTAAGCAGGGTTTTGTCCTTGGGTGGCCTCCCTCGACCCCGAGGGCTACTTCCTGGCTGAGCAGGGCTTTTTCCTTGCCCTGGTGATTTTGGGGCCCTGGGAGATTTTGACCTAGATCGTGGTCGACCCACTTTCTTTTTCTTTGGAATAACTTTTGTTGATGGACTTGGGACTGGTATTTTGTCTTCTAAAGCAGGAAGAGAGGCAGATTTTGACACAGTCTCTGAGTTCGATACTTCATCCCCACCTCCCTTTTGTCGAGGAATTTTCTTACTAGTTCCATCTGGATAAATCATAATCTCCTCCACTCTCTGCTCTCTCTCTTTTCCTACTGCCTCCACTCTCTGGGATTCTCCACTGCTCTCTATCACCTTTTCTGGCCGGCTTAAGGGTGTAGAGGGTCTTGAATCCACCTTTTCTTTCCTGAAGATCTTACTAACTGAAGGCTTGTCATGGCTAGCTTTCTTAAATCCCTGGGGAGGGGTCCTGGCATCTGGCAGTTTTCCTCCCTTGGTGGGGGTCAGGTCCCCAGTGTGTGTGATTGCAATGCTCTTCATCTCATACTGAGAATGCATAGCTTCTTCAGGCAAAGCGGCATTGGTCAACCTACAAATGGAAATTTACATTAGGAAAATATTCATTTGAGCAATGAATAACTCACAAACACACAAACCATATTTCTTGTAAGATAAAACTTGTGTAAAGAAACATTAAACCAGAGTTGTGGAAAACTGTCATGCCGGCAAAAAATTCGCATGACCGATAAAAATGCTATCAATGTCGGTCCAAATGACCGGCCCCTTTTTTGGGTAAAGTTTCTGTTTTTCTATTCATCATGTGCATTTTCCTTCTTAATGTTGTCGTACCTTATATGCGATTGCGTAATACCTTTTTCTTTAAATGAGCTCGAGGCTATAAATGAAAACGAAACTAGCATGGTTCTCGTGACCTGTTGAATTTACAATATGTTGTATTTTCACTAGTGAACTCTTCAGAATTAGAGGCGCGTTTGATCGTCTGACTGGGACAGCATGATGTTGCGGATAATACAAAACATGCCAGTTTCAATCCAATTTTAAATGTTTAGTGCATTTGTCATGAATAGAAGAACTAAAAGACATTTAAAACCGTAACTTTAACATCCATTAATAAAAAATATGACATTTCCGAGGTATGTGTATTGTCTTTAAATGTACCATTATGATAAATAGATACATACGATCACCAATAGATGTCAATTAATTTCCTTGTCATCTCTACTCTTGATTCAAATAAAGTCCACAACAATAAAATATTTCATATGCATTTTGTTAGTATTTGTTCATCGACATTCAACATGCTGTTTACATGTTTGTTACGTTTGTCCAAGAAATCCCGCGAGATTTGTACATTCTCAGACTTTTTCACAAAAGAGCGCACTAAGAACTATAACTCTTCAATAGTGGAAATAGAACGTATTGGGGCAGAATTAAGTAGAAAACGTATCAAAGGAAAAAGTAAATATTAGAGGAGCTAAATTTGAAAAATTTCAACAGAAAGAATTCAAGCACAGGTGGGTAAAGCAGAAAATATAGTACTCCCGACTGTCCCGGATTTTGGGTTTTTTACCGATCTTGTTGATATCTTTATTATCGATGCAAAGAATTTTTGCAATTTCTAGACCCATTTTCTAGGTTCATATAATTCCAAATTGCATTAATGTTTAAAAAAAAATTACATTCACTATACTGAATTGGCACTGTGTCCTGCCCAAAAGCTGTGGTATCTAGTATTGTTATAAATGCAAAATTAAAAGCAGACGGAAGAGGACTTGGAAATGGAGACTGAATTTTGTATCATTATTAACATGATTTATTAAAAAGATGTGTTATACAATGTAAAGTGAATAAATCTTAAGGGTTTTTTTTTCATTTTGCGACTTACTATTTCGGACCGACAAAAATCACTTCGGACCGGCTTATTTTGTTTTCTTGTCGGTCCAAATGACCGGCTATCTGAAAAAGTTTTCCACAACTCTGTAAACATTCACAAAATGCATCATAAAGAAGTTTATTTTCTTAAAAAAAAAACTCCATTTTGTAATATTTTTTTTTTATATTAAATCCTTGAATGTATATTAATCCCTCAATTTCTTTTTTTTCTAAAAATGGCCCCCACCCCCAGACAAAGAAAAACACAGACATGTATAGACAGCCTCACAAGATAATTGTCAAAATACATATAAAATGTATTGTTTACACTTTACTAAGATAAATCTCGTTTAAGATTTCTTCAACAGTTACCGTTATAAACTGACCTTGGTCTTTTCTTTGGCAAGCCTCCCTCCACTGGGCTTGTCATTGGTCGTTTGTCTCCCGGGACGATGAGGTTACTGCCCTCTGTGACCTCTGCTTGACCTCCGACCCCATTCTGACCTTGATCTACCTGCATGGCTGACCCCTCTCCCTGATCGTTTGACTTCTCTGTCTCATTGTCCAACTCATCTATCAAATAATATTCATTATTCACAAAAATTCTTGCATACCAACATGTTTAAAACTTTTATTGTCTAAATTCAAATTTTTGAAAAAAATGGATATTTTTTTCTTATTTCCTCATAATATTCATGTTACATTTATGATCAATTTAATCTTTCATAATTACATGTAACATCTTAGTTTCTTCTTTCATACAAAACTTATTCTTTATGAAAACTTATTGCAAAACACATTATTTACAGTAACTGTGAGTAACTATAATTTTTTTCATTATAAGTGAATTGCTAGAGATGAATTAAGAGTTTTTAATTGAAGAAAACTAACTAGAAAACTGACCAGTCAGCAAGGGCCCCGCCATGGGGTAGAATTGAAAGGGTGCACTTACGGAATGATTAAAAAATGTACGAAGAATAAGCAACAGCAACTGTATTCTTAAAATTTCAAGATAATTCCTGAATATTCAAAAACCTGAAAATAATATCCTTGCATTTACATTAGGCAGTAGAAAACGACTTAACATTGAATGTATATTTAAACAATTATGAAGCTTGTGTTATATAAAATGCCAGCCTTCAATGAATGCAAATATCATGAAGGCTTGACCTTAACTTCAAACAAACAGCAGTTGCAGACAAAGGTTTTCATTAATCTTAAAGTGACAGATAAAGAAAAGCCTACTAAATTTTCTGCAGCAGGCTAGATAATTAATCCCAAGGGATTAATTGTACCTCTCTCATCATTTTCTTCTAAATTTACAATACGAACTTTTTCAGTATCATTTTTAAAAATGAAACTATTTCATTGTTTATAACTTGAAATACTTTTCAATAATTTTTTTCTGTATTGAAATCCTAGTAAAAATAATTTAAGAAGGAGAAAAAGAATCTGAATTTTTTTTCCAATTACAAGGTATATCTAGCAAAAAAAAAAAGAACAACAACAAACAAAACAAATCAAAAAAAATAAATAATGACAATGTAAAAGTTTTTTTTTCATTTCTTGCATAATAATTAATATGCACAATTAAATTTTAAATTCTATCTTTCATTTTAAATTTGAAGCCTCATTGCATAGTCATAATTTTGTTATTATCTCTTTAAAATTTGTTTTCAATCTTAATTTTTTTTTTTTCTGAAAAAGTTTTGATGTACTACGTACTGCATGCTCATTGAACTCTGTATATCAGACGTGTAATTTCTTAGACAGTCAATAACTACACAATTTAACAGTAAAATAGGTCTGTATTCACAGCATGAATTAATTATTTGGCAATAAAAATATCTAAAATCATCTTCAACATCTTTGGCATGACATCGATATAGCTGACCAGCTGTTTTGCGTCTGGTTGTGCATAACTTGTAACGATGGACTTTATCATACCCGGAAGTGTAAAATCTAGAGGAGTTCCGTCAGAGTATTCGATGCATTGGACATTAGTAGCGAAACAGGTGCAAGTGTCCTGCTGTTTCGTTTATTTCAGCAGTAATAAAACAGGATTTATAAACTACTGACGATTCTACCATGTTTCTTAATAGATTTGCTTCATGATTTTCAATAATGGGGTTGCAAATGTTAGGGCGACTTTAACTTCGCTTTCATGATAAATTACGGCAAAGTTTGGAGCCCAAAAGCGACTATTTCGCCTCAGTCGCCCCCTCGGTTGGTCCCTGTAATGATAGAATGGGGTTTTTATACAACTACATTAAAAATTAATAATATTCTTGAATTAATATATTAAAAAAAAGTGAAAAAAAGTAAATCAAAAAATCTTCTTTAATCTATTTCTTTTTTTTTAGAATTCAATGAAATCATAACTATCAAACAAAAATATATAATAAGAATTTATATTTAAATCCACATTTCAGAGTGTTCATAGCATTCCAAATTGATTTAACTTCAAAACAAACTTCATTTGCAGACAGAGGTGGTAATTAATCTCAATGTGACAGATAAAGATAATGCTCTGGATTTTCTTCAGGAGAATAGCTAATTAATCCCAAGGGACTCCTAGCAGCATTCAGTTTACAATGGGAACATCTTCAGCAGTTATCTCTCTTTGCCAATGCATTCTTATATAAAGTTAAGGAATCTACCCCACCACCCCAGCTCCAAACCATGGGACATAGAGAACCAAACTTAGCATCAAAATATGTATTTCTGCCTACTGAACTACCGTACCAAATTTGTACTTGATTGGGCAACCATAAAAAAAGTTGCCCGTTCATTCTTATGCATAGTTAAGGAATCTACCCCACCACCCCAGCTCTAAACCAGAAGACATAGAGAACCAAAGTTAGCATCAAAATATGTATTTCTGCCTACTGAACTATCATACCAAATTTGAAGTTGATTGGGCAACCATAAAAAAAGTTATTAGAAAAAAAACAGAAAATTTGTGGACGGAAGAGTGACAGACGGACAGACAGACAGCTAGACGGACAGACGGACGGACAGAGTGATTACTATAGGGCACCCGCAAATCCTTGCAGGGCCCTAATTATAATTCATATCACATATTTTAATTTTTCTCCATACCTTCTGGGGTAGGATATAATAGGGGCATGTAATCCTCAATGTGCTCATCCCTTGTCTGTAACTCTTTGTGACCAGGTTTAGGAATCTGTAAATTACAGCTCTTGGGGGCGGGGAATTGTACAATTTCGTGAGGGAAGGGCGCCGGCTCCACATGGCGGACATACTCCTCCAACTCACTGATGCTGACCCCCATGTGTCTGAACGCCAGCCCCACATCATCCAAGTTAGGGTCTGTTCTTCCAACTGTAAATAACACTTCATATTTATTTGGCATATAATTTTCTATCCAGAGATAGTGGATATTTTATTGATGTGAAATTTACAAATTAGTCATCACTGGTCATACATGTACTTCAAATACATGTAATATAAAATGCAAGAATAAAGAATGGATAGGCCTTCAGGTCAAGACTTGTGTACCTTAAAATATTGTAAGTATTATTTATGCATAGAAATGTTGATTATAACAAAATTCCATAAATATCATGTCAATGAATGGTCTTTCCAAAAAATGAAAATTAAAGTGAGATACCAAATATTGGACTTCAGTCCTGATGTCCAAAAATTTGCCTTAGTTCCGTAATGCTTGCTTTGAAATACGTACACTGTTCAGAATATCTGTGAGTGACTTTAGCCAGCTGTAACATGTAGCGTCCCAGGACATCAGTAAGGAGCTCAAGGGGCGTGGACTGGGCCGAGTTCCACCCCACATTCTGACAAATCTGAGCCAGGGCTATCCTCAGAATACTCCGACAATACTGCTCTGACATCTAAATCAGAAAACACACTATTATATATTAGATTTCATTCAGGATAATAGGTAAATAACCTGCAAGCTAGTTAGATAAACTAAGTGTGTGTTGGGACAAGCCCTCGCCACAGTTAGAATAGCTCCAATATAATTGCAATATTAATGTAGCAAATCAGTGCAGATCTCCGACAAAATGATTTTGAAGAATACAAAAGGGATTGCCCTGAGAATGATGATTAATCGAAACCAACCCCTCTGAGACTGTATATGGTTCCATGTTCGTTCGCCCTAAAAATTGTTCGCCCGATATCCCGTTCGCCCGATTTTTCGTTCGCCCAGAGTCCGTTCGCCCAATTTCTCGTTCGCACAGGGTCCGTTCGCCCAAATTTTATATAGAATATAATATAATGAATTTCTTTTTACATTTTTGGTACATTCGAAATAATACTGACTGATTGTGCATATGGGTCATACTAAATACATGCTCTATCAAAGACCTGACATGGTTGATAGCTGAATGTTGAATTTTCATATTCCATCCTCTTATAAATCATTTTTTGAGATCAAAGGGAGATTCTTCAAAGATAAAACCTTCAAGATCCGCTGCTCAGTTCTATAAGGGATCTATTAACGTCTAAGTCCCTTAATTGTTTTCAAAACATAGCCCATTTCGTAAAAAAACAACACGGGTGTATTCCCCCAATTAACATTGATATTAGTCATCTAATTAACTATATCATTAATATGATAATAGAATCAAATCATAAAATACATTGTTCCTGGTTTGAGAAAAAAATAACCCAAGTTCGTAAAGGAAATAAAAATACATGTTAATCTTTATTTCAAATAAGTTAATATATATAAGTATAAGTATATATAATATAATATATAAGTATTGGGCGAAACTTTTATAGGGCGAACAAGATTTTGGGCGAAGAAATTTTTGGGCGAACGGACCCTGCGCGAACGGACTCCGGCGAACAGGTAGATCGGGCGAACGAACCTGTTACCACTGTATATGGTGTTTCATCACAAAAGTAATCCATATAAACGCGACTATTCAATTCCTCAATGTTGTTCTCACTTTTAAATTTATATGCGGCAGCACGTTTAAAATGTTTGCACTTGAAACTTTCTTGATTGTTTCAGGTAAATACACTGAGTTTAAGTTATTGCCAATTTCTATTTTGCTACAATACCAAATACGAATACTTTGATCATTATGTGGCACAAATTCTATCGTTAAACTGGGTCTTCCTGATGATAGGACAATATCATTTTAACAATAGAACATTCTATCTATCTGTCCAAGTGTAACTTGCGGAAAGTAAGCATCCTGTAATTTTTATCATTCCTGTGCATTAAATACCTTCTTTGAAATAATGCAAAATGCCTTGCAATTAACAAAGTTTCTAAGTTTGTGCTTTGATCATTCTTACGTTTAAATTCAGAAGCCGTCTTTTTCAATTGAAAGATCACAGAAGCAAAGAAATCATCATCTTATTTCGATGAAACGTCATTACCAGTCCAAACCAAAACAGTTTCTGCTTTTAGAAAATATTGGATACACCAAGCATATACTGAGAATGCACTATTGTGCATCTCCCCATTTTGAATCTAACGGTATTGTATATTGCATAAACGTTCGTCAACTACACAGCTGCTTCTTAAATAAGCTTCTTTGCCTTTGTCTGACTCTCTGTCACCGCAAAATTAACATTTCCTTCCACTGGAGGCTATCCAACTTCCATTTTACTTGTAAAATCAATGTTAAGAAAATGTTTGAATTTTCATAATTTCCGATCCCGATGAATTTAATTTTGGTGCTAATTTTCATGCTTTTTCAGTCATCCATGGCCCCAAACTATTGAGAAATATTGGAATGAATATGAAAGATATTGAAATGATAACCTTTTTAAAATATGTAAAGTGCAGAACAAAAACGAAAGTTTTCATCGAGTTTGTTATTCTAAGTTATTCAAACATTTATTTCACTAAGATGAAAAGGAATCCTGGGACATATTTTCGATGGTGACGGAAGTGTACACACGCAAGACGTGATCTTTAGGTAAGAATTGTTAAAACATCTGTATTTTTTCTTAATTGCCATTTTTCAATTTAAGTAATTATTTGTCCTGGTGATAAACATTAAAAAATTTACTGTTTTCATTTCAGGCACCAATATGACTGCATAAAAGTTGACTGGCAAGATAAATAATTTTAGTTATTGATACATATTGAGTTGAAGTAAAGAGGAACATCATGGGAATATTCGACTCTCTAGCAAAGTGGCTTGGCCTAAAGAAAAAGGAAGCCAATGTTCTTGTGGTAGGACTTGACAACAGTGGTAAAACGACCATCATTAACCAGTTAAAACCAGCAGAGTCAAAGTCTCATGACATTGTTCCAACGATTGGTTTTACAGTGGAAAAATTCTCAGGAAAATCCTTGTCCTTCACTGCCTTTGATATGTCGGGTCAAGGTCGATACCGCAACCTATGGGAACATTACTACAAAGAGTGTCAGGGCATTATCTTTGTAATCGATAGCAGTGACCGCTTACGTATGGTCGTAGCACAGGAAGAATTAGAACAGTTACTTAATCATCCAGATATTGTTGGTAGACGCATTCCAATTTTGTTTTATGCCAACAAAATGGACATGAGAGATGCTTTGTCAGCTGTAAAAGTTGCACATCTTCTGAACTTAGACAAAATTAGCACAAAGCCGTGGCATATATGCGCATCAAATGCCTTAACTGGTGAAGGGTTGAGTGAAGGCGTGGAATGGATAACTGGGCAGTTGAAAGAAGTTGTAAATGCTAAATGAAGCACCATGAAACATCCATTGTACTTAAATATGTGGGCACATAAGGTTGTTCATCAATAGAGAGTTGCAAAAGTTACTCTTGTTAAAAAAAAAGTACAAAAATTGTTTTAAATAATTGTACATGTTGAATGAAAATTTTCTGATAATACAATATAATTTGTTGTTAATTCAATTTTTGAGAAAAAAGGTGATTGGGGTGAATCACCATGCTGTTACTTTTGTTTTATTAGACCATGTAGACTATGATACATATTCCTGATACATGTAATAGATCTCGACAACTTTATATGAATCTATACAACACATTGTGGGAAAATACATTTTTTTGAGCATAAATTGTGTATGATATACTGAAATATATCTTTTTTGATTTTCTCTGGTTGTGCGTTAAAAGTTATTGTAATGATGTAACATATACGCTGTAGAGTCGTACCTCAGTGATTATTATTATACATTTTATGTGGATGAGTTGTTAAAATGGATTTTAATGTAATGTGAACATGAGTAACCTTTCAGTGTAATCAGGGACCTGTATTCTAACTTGTATATAGGTCCCTGGTGTAATGCAGAGTCTATTTAAATGAATTATTTTAGTAGTCTTTTACATCTTTTACACAGCAATTTTTTTCAGTCCGTCCTAAGATCATAACATATCAAGTTTTTTTTACCCAAAAGGGGTGAACTAACTGAGGATTATATAATTATGTATATCATATTAGCTAATATTATACAGTAAATGTAAAGTCATAGATCTAAGCTAAGTTTAGGACATTCACATTAAAAGTAATGCACAGTGTAGTGAGTGTACCATCAGGGATTGATATGGGGCATATTCCATGTATTCCCATTACAATACTAAAAAGCTCAAAAAAAAATTTCTTCATAAATTTTAAAATTTAAGGTAAAATTTTTTCCAGAATATGTTAAATGTGGTTTTACTTTGCTATTTTGTGCATTCAAAATGGTAAACCCTCCCCCCCCCACCCCTGCACCTGCTAGTGTTCTGAAGTGGCCCCCAGACCTCTTGCTGAATTTACCAATTTCTCCAGAAAGGGTAGTTTCCTCACAAAGTTAGATTAATCCCTGACCATTTTTGTTATTATTGGATTTATGACCTGTTCTTGTGTGAATTTGAATCCCTTATTTTAGTATGAAAATTTCACATTGATAGAACGTAAATGTAAGGTAGGTGAATGAGAGTCAAAAGAATTGGTGCAGATGGTACAACTGTATATAATTTGCTGGAGGGAAACAGTATCTGTAACATTGATTCAAGAGTAAAAGTTATGCTTAGATGGAATGATATTTAGAAATGTGTTAAATTTAATACGGTAAAAGTTGGCTAGTTTTTTTTTTCTTCAAAAAAAAACAACAAACAAACAACAAACAAACAAATACTAGAGTTTTAATATTTATTTAAATTTGACTTTTTAAGACTTACTCATAACAAAAAGGGAAGTGAAAAAAAATTATTGCTTTTGAAAAGAAAATAGGTCTATTTTTCATTTATTAATAATATTTATTGATGTTACAAGTATTGAAATAATGAAAATTCACAATTTTTGTCAAACTAAAGGCAATTCATCACAGGTGAACAATTTTCAATGTACAAGTTATTTCCCTTTATACGCACGTGAATAGAGACACGATAGAAATATGACTGCCTCTGATATAAAACGACTTGTTTCATAATTTTATGAAAAAAGTACTGTTGAATGCATTTACTATTTCTGAATAAATATTCATCCATATTTTACTTTTTTTTGTTTTCTGTACTAAGTATAATCTTGGTTTCTTTATTTTATTTCATTTGAAGCAACAGCTGGGCGAGGAGGCAAAACTATTCAGTTTCGGAGCGCCATAGTTTGAACAATCATATTTTGTTATTACAAATGGGATTGGGCAAAAGTTTTTTAAAACTTAATACGCCCTTTCCTTAAAGTTTTAGAAATACTAATTAGCAATGGCTTTATGACCAAAAAAAAAAAATTCATAGTTTTGTTTTCTACAGTAATTTTTTGGATGGGGCTGGGGTCCCTACAGCCATGATAAAGTTGTGCATTGTTAAGTTATTATATGCATATAAATCAAAGTTAGCATGCACTTTCATTTGCATATGTACTACTACTAGTAATTGTTTCCTTCACCCCCCCTTCTTTTTAAGGGGGAGAGGGTGTTATGGGCCGGTGTCATTCGTATAGGTACTGTAACTAATTCCCATGAATATTTTAACCTAGCTGTACCTATACAGTGTAGTTCAAAACAGACTACATGATACCGTATCAAAAGTAAAATTACGGTTCATACTATAAACAGATAAATGGTCACTAACATAGATAAGAGTGTGATAAAACGCCATTTTATTTCGAAATGAACCAGCTTTGGGGAATCCCACAATACTCTATTATTTGGCAAAGATGTTCAATTCCATACACATTGGTAAATATACACCTTTAGCATTTAAAGTTTAAACTTGTAACTTTGAATTCGAATTTAAAGATTTTTTCCGCTTCTATGAATGTTTCTGTTATTTGTGTTGTAGATAATAAGTATAGATGTGTACCTTTCTTGCAGTTATCTTTGGAATAATATGTTACCTACCTACTGTCCAAGGTAATACAGTTCTTTTTCTTTTTTCTTTTTTAGCTCACCTGAGCCGAAGGCTCAAGTGAGCTTTTCTGATCAAAATTTGTCCGTTGTCTGTCGTCGTTGTCGTTGTTGTTGGCGTTGTCGTTGTCGTTGTCGTCGTAAACTTTTCACATTTTCATCTTCTTCTCAAGAACCACTGGGCCAATTTCAACCAAACTTGGCACAAAGTATTCTTGGGTGAAGGGGATTCAAGTTTGTTCAAATGAAGGGCCACGCCCTTTTCCAAGGGGAGATAATCATGAATTTTTTAAAAATTAATGGCATTTTTAAAAAATCTTCTTCTCCAGAACCGCTGGGCCAGGAAAGATGAAACTCATGTGGAAGCAACCTCAGGTAGTGTAGATTCTAGTTTGTTCAAATCATGACCCCTGGGGCAAGGGTGGGGCCAAAATGGCCAACCCAAGTTTTACATAGGAATATATAGGAAAAATCTTTAAAAATCTTCTTCTCCAGTACCACTGGGCCAGGAAAGATGAAACTCATGTGGAATCATCCTCAGGTAGTGTGGATTCAAGTTTGTTCAAATCATGACCCCCGGGGCAAGGGTGGGGCCAAAATGGCCGACCCAAGTTTTACGTAGGAATATATAGGAAAAATCTTTAAAAATCTTCTTCTCCAGAACCACTGGGACAGGAAAGATGAAACTCATGTGGAATCATCCTCAGGTAGTGTAGATTCAAGTTTGTTCAAATCATGACCCCCGGGGCAAGGATGGGGCCAAAATGGCCGACCCATGTTTTACATAGGAATATATAGGAAAAATCTTTAAAAATCTTCTTCTCCAGAACCACTAGGACAGGAAAGATGAAACTCATGTGGAATCATCCTCAGGTAGTGTAGATTTAAGTTTGTTATAATCATGACCGCCGGGCTAGGGTGGGGCCAAAATGGCCAACCCAAGTTTTACATAGGAATATATAGGAAAAATCTTTAAAAATCTTCTTCTCCAGAAACACTGGGCCAGGAAAGATGAAACTCATGTGGAAGCAACCTCAGGTAGTGTAGATTCTAGTTTGTTCAAATCATGACCCCGGGGCAAGGGTGGGGCCAAAATGGCCAACCCAAGTTTTTCATAGGAATATATAGGAAAAATCTTTAAAAATCTATCTTCTTCTCCAGTACCACTGGGCCAGGAAAGATGAAACTCATGTGGAATCATCCTCAGGTAGTGTGGATTCAAATTTGTTCAAATCATGACCCCCGGGGCAAGGTTGGGGCCAAAATGGCCGACCCAAGTTTTACATAGGAATATATAGGAAAAATCTTTAAAAATCTTCTTCTCTAGAACCACTGGGCCAGGAAAGATGAAACTCATGTGGAATCATCGTCCGGTAGAGCAGATTTAATTTTGTTCAAATCATGACCCCCGGGGCTAGGGTGGGGCCAAAATGGCCGACCCAAGTTTTAAATAGGGATATATGGGGAAACCTTTTAAAATCTTCTTTACAAGTACTTCAAAGCTATGATTAGTGATATTTATATGGAATCATCCTCAGGTAGTGTAGATTCTAGTTTGTTCAAATGATGAACGCCTGGAGGGGGGGGGGGAGTAAATTCAAGCCTGATGTGCTCAGGGGAGCGCTGTGGCCCCTGGGCCTCTTGTTTCTTTTTACTGTAATTAAATGCATTTACTTTGTAAATAAAGTATTTCGTTAAAACCCGAAGTATGTTCACGTTTTTCGTACAATTACACTTCACAGGCACGTAGTATCAGGGGGGGCCAGGGGGGCCTGGCCCCCCACTTTTTCTCCCGACATTACCTTTACTATAGAAAATGTATACTGAAAGGAAGGTTGCCCCCCCCCCCCCCCCCACATTTCAGCACAGTGTAGTGTTATAAAGAAAATTTACCCCCAAAAGTTTTAATTGAAATTTAGTTGGTATTTAAAAAACTTGGCCACCAAACACCCCCCCCCCCCCCCCCCCGAAATAGGATTTTCGACTTTGGGCAACTTTTAATATTTCGTTTTTTTGTTTTTTTTTTTTTTGCTTGTCAACTTTTTCAGGTAAGTAAAAAAAAAATTTTCTCAGGTTGGCCCCCCCCACTTTCAAAAACGATGCTACGTGCCTGAGTTCAATTCCTTTTTATATTTTTTCCCTCTATTTCTTTTACTGAGTATCTATACAAAACACGTTTAATTTGATGTGTATAATTGTTTTTCTCTTAGGCTTGCGTTGTCTGAAATGTTCCTCCATAACCGAGCCCCGTCTATGTACCGACCTGGAAACGTGCCAGTCGGGGGAGGTGGGTGTTTATACATATTAGTTTGTACATGCGCGGATCAAGGGGGGGGGGGTTCTGGAAAAAATCCTGGATCCAAGCCTGTTATATAATGTTAATTTTGGTTTTAAAAAGTTCACAGTCATTTGTAATGTAAAAATAATATATATAGGTGTGCCAAACATACGAAACATATAGTTCCCCAACCCCCACCTTCTCAATTAAAGACCAAATTGAAATTGTTTCACAGACTTGAAGAGAAGATTGGTAAAACTTTTTAAAAATGTGTGAATATAAAATTACCCTCTTAGTATGATTTTATAAGAAGTGGAATGACTTTTATTTATACCTCAATCTTTTTCATGTTCAGTGGAATACAATGAAGAAACAATTTTTATGAACTACAAAAAAATCGGGCATAGCAATTTTCTGAAACAAACTATTTCTCTCAGCTGTTTTTATTAAAGTCTAGCCAGGACAAATGTACTACAGGCACCTGACGTTACTTATTTTTCTTTTAATAAAAACATATACCCCTACCTACATGTGATGGGGTATATATTTTTTTCATTAAAAGAAAAATAAGTAAAGTCAGGTGCCAGTGAGATATACATATAGAACTAAAAAAATTAAGCATTAAAATTTAAACTAGTTTTATTACATTATTGTAGATATGTGGGGTACGACAGCTGATGTCGGACAATGGTGACACTTCATACTGGACGGGTTGTGTCCCACAAGCGGTAAGGAACCCCCTCTTCTAGATACCCCCTCCCTCCCTTTTATCTTTCCGTATAATCAGTTAAACTTGTTGCATTCTACGAGTAATATGCATACACTACCTTAAATATATGAAAATTTGATGTTGCATTGCTATAAATTAAGGAAATATATTATAGACGTAAAATACCACGTGAGATGAAAGCGGGAAAAAAAATTAGAATTGATAAATAAATAAAGATAGAAAGAAAGATGTGCATGATCACTTCAATAAATTAAGACTTTTATTTTCATCAAACTGATGAAGAGCTGTTAATGGACAAAATATCAAATGTTAAGGGTTAAAAGTTGTTAAATTGTTTTAAAATTTGTTTATTTTTATTTTAAACACCAATGTTGACTAAACAATCTCCCACACTATAATGCTTCATTCATGAACACCAAAGTTGACAAGTAAACAACCCCCACACTAGTTCTTCATTCCTCAGTTTACACGGTCACTAAAATTGATTAGTAAACATTTTTTTTGGGGGGGGGGTTACAATTTCCCATAATTTATTCTTTATTCATCTTATATCTACACCTTCAAACAATAGATATGTATATATATGTTGAACTTAATTATTAAAACTCTTTAGTCTGAGATTCAATTTAATTCTCCAGGGCTGTGTTTCCGTGGATACCTCGGGGCACTTCATTGGTAAGAGAACCAGCTATTATGACAAAGAAGTCATTTGTCAGCACTGTTGCTCCAGCGACCTTTGCAATTCTCAAGGATGCGGGGCACTCGGTATGTACACAATAAAATCTGACGATCAATCCCCCCACTCCTGATAAAACCTCCAGCACACGATTTTACGTCAGGTCGTGTTTGCATAAAATGTAGCACGATTTGACGTTTATCTAATCGAAGAGATTTGTTTAACAATATTCAGTTTTATCCATTAAATTTCAGGGATGCAACATTAAGTTTAGTAAACAAACTTAAAGAAAAGTGGTCCCCCGCTTTACTGTCTTAGTGGATAGAATGCCTTGTTGATTCTATGAAAGTTTATTTAT